GGGGGTGCTTTGGATTCTAGAGAGCATTTTTTTGGACAGAAAGTTTGATGAAGTGCAGGGTGATGTCATCAAAATCATTGATCCATATTGGCGGAAGTGAGAGACTAAGTTTTGAATGCTTATATCTTCTAAATGCGAAATTTGTCAGGTTTTTAGGACAGTGAATGAAGACTAAAGTGTTGAATGAAGACAAAGTGTTCAAGCTTCAAAAAAGACGAACATGTACCTTTGCAGGCACTTATCATCTGTAGGACCATCTCAGCAGCCCCTCTGTTGTGTAAACGTGACTGTTGGTAGAGGAGTCTTTGCTTTTCCATCTCTTTTTCCTATAGGGTTAAACATGGAAAAAATGAACTGTCTGAAAGCTTTACCATGTCTCTTTTCTCATAAAATTGTTCTTTCTGCTCAATTTCCCTGTCCCTCTAATTAAACTACAGACACCTAACCATAACACTAAAATCATCTTTCTTTATAAGCAAAAATGTTTGTTTTTCTATACTGGCCAGTTGCTATATATCATTCATAATGTCATACATTTTGTGGGTGATGGTAATTTTCCATTAAACTCATTGGGTATTTCTAAATTTAGAAGCTGCTTTTTACTGTGAGGATGACAAAGGGCAGCAGTGAACATATGAAGTTATTGTCATGGCAACCCAAAACACTGGCCTGAGGCTGTCATCAAGTCAACCACAAACATTGCTAATGTTCACAGCTTTCCTTTTCAGCAGTATCATCAACTCTTTTCAGCGTCTTTCTCAAATGTTTTGTTTAAATATCTTATGCAACACAAACTAAACATTTAATTATTTTAGTTAAAATGTGATTATAATAGTGTTAAGGTGATCAGGTGATTGTGAGTGCTTGACATTTGTAAATGATTTGGGCCCTGCTTATGTGATTAATCTTTTTGTATTCTAAAACTCTCTTCTCTTTCAATCATTTTCATTTAGCATGCTCCCACCATTACCATTAGTTACGGGCAGTCATACTAATTTCTCACGTTTGTCTATCAGAGCAAACGTTGGACTACGGACTACAGTAAACTCTCCTGATGGCTTTGCATCTCACAGAGAAACAAAAGAGCCATGCAGGTGTTACTCATCTACAGCTCTTAAGGTAAGTGCTTCTGCAGAATATACATAACCCTTAACCCAGCATTATCAAACATCAACTTATTTTGAAATAAAACTGTATTGTAATTATAGATATATTGTAGCAAATACAATTTCATAACAGTGTTATCATAAAAAGATATTAAAAGCAAGCTTCTTTTATTACAGACTATGTAAAAGGTACTGTAGTGCAAAAGGAAAATGTTAAAAGCAAATACAATTGTTGGCTTACTTACAGAAGCTTGCTTTGCCAAAAATTCATTAAACCACAAAGTTCATACGTTTATAATTATTGCATGCATAATACACCCCCCCTCCCATTCCACCCATGCCACCCCCCTCCCCTGTAAGCCTGACCTAAGTAAGTACCCAAAAGTGTGGAATATGGTGTGTTTCTTCTTCCCATGTCTACACGTATATGCTCAGTCTGAGTGAGTGTGTGTGTGTGTATGGCGTGCACAATCCACTTTGTTATAGGTGCATCTGTGTGTTTGTTCCTCTGTGTGTGTGCAGACTTGGAGACTGACTGCTCTGGATTTAACTGTAGTCTGTGCGTCAATATATTTGAGAAAACATTCATTAGTCACTTTCACATTATTATTGTGAATGAGTTAAAGGAAATCAAGGTAAGTGAAAGAACAGAAAGCATACAGAAACATAAATATGACAAATACGCTATCATTAGTGATTACTTACTGAAACAGCATATGTAAGTAAAATGCATGTTCACTTGACACCTCAATCATAAAGCTCACACACAGCAAGAACAATTAAAACAACGTGTCATTCAACAAATTATTGAAAAGAAACAATAAGGATGTAGTTTCTTTTGGACTTAAAAGCTGCAACAGGTGAAATTTCACAGTGAAATCACTCTGAGGTCTTAAAATTACCTATATTTTCATAATGCAATTGTAATTTTATACTTTATAATTTCTATTTTTTATTTTTCTTTGTGAAATTCAACCTTATATGTTCATATCTGTTACACTTTAAAGTATTGTTATATGACTTAAAAGCTTAATGGATAATCAATGCAATTTGCTGAGCAATTTTGTCATTTTCCAGCATATTAAAAAATACCACATGCTGCAGTTTTAGGTTATCCAAATACAACAAAAAAGCATAAAAACATTTACTTAAGCCTAAACTACTAAACACATTATAATATATCGGTATAAAATATAAATTATTGTTGTAATTTTTTGTATTCAAATGTATTCAGCTATTTTTATACAATTAATATATGTGTTTAGTATGTGGCTCAAAGCTTCATGTCAGAAATGTAAAATAAAAAATAAAAAATGTTAAAGATGCTGCAGTGTAATGTAATAAAACATATTTGATGGAGTCAGATGGAGAGACAGAGAGCACAGCCTGGACAAAGAGACATAAAATGGGATGTGAGTGAATGGATGGATGATACAGTGGTTGTTGGTTTGGATGTCACTCGGATCTACCACTTGTGTGTCTTCCCCGTCCCCAGCCCCCGGACTCCCCCTACCATCTCTGTCTGTCGCACCTCAAAGGACATCTCCTCCTCTCCCCCCTCTTCCTCCTCATCCTCTTCACCGATGTGGCAACTCTAAATTCACCAGAGATGAACACAAAGAACATTACACAGCATGAGATCCTGTGATGTGACCTTTTATATATTTAATAAGAATTCGAAAAATCTAAAACCTAATGGAAAATGGCTTAATTAACTGAAATGGAGAGAAGTTACAGTAAAGTAAATTTTAACATATATACATATATATATATATATATATTATGGGTGACCCGGAATAGTCGAAGATTCGATGCTTTGATAGGAGGAGCCTGATTCGACTACCAATCTCACAGTCGAATATTC